ACACAAGACCTCGGCAATATTGGGTATTGCATTCCGCGTCACATCTACATCTGCTCGCCAAGGTCGCAATGCTACCGCAGAAAAAACAAGGACTGTGGACTGGCAGTTGGTTTGTTGGTGTGTGAGTGAGGAAAGCAAGCATTATGGGAAGGTCTTCACTACGATTGGCTCGCGAAAGTCACGTGTTAGTACTTTCAGCTCTAATTGGTCGGCTATGTATGATGTGAGTGAGTATATAAGGCACGTTTTGTAGGCCTAACATGGTGTTACTGTAACAGTTACATGACGAGTTGTTCCTCTCATGTATCTAGTTAGAAGATAACTACCTTCTGGCCATTTGAATGCTCCGCTAGTGTAAATTGTGACCTGAAACAGCAATATTGTGTAGTTCGTCATTGTGTACTATCTAAGCTTTGGAAACGCGGCTTGCCTGTCAAAAACGTACTTCGGAGGTTCAACAAATAAGGACATAGAAAACACGGAGGCTAAACTAGAAACGTTGACGAAGTGAGCCTAGGCCAATGTACAATACAGACGGGTAAGAAGGTAAGACTCTTGTTAAACTCTCCTGGGTAGGTGTGGAGACGTTTCGGACTCGGTCCGGCGCTGAGACACCTGCACAGTGGAGGTTATTCTTGTACTAGTACTTAGAATTTCTTGGTGCTTTTTAAAGATAGCAAGTATCAGCCCCGTTGGAATCACCATCTAGCAACCCGGTCTCGTCCAATAATCATCCAAGCCGATCTTTCGGTGGCAAAGTCGTATAAAAACTGGCGAGGCAGCATCCAATTGGCTGGACAGTGTCCAGCAGATCTTCGGTGGCCTGCCTGGCCAATTGGACACTGCCTTACTAGTTAGTTGGTTGCGATTGTTGCCAAAGAAAGATCTGCTGAGAGATTATCGCCCAACCCAGCTTAAATAGGGCAGTGTTTCCTCCCTTCCCACAAGGAGAGGGAAACGACGTCACGGGTCCAATAGGTCGGTAGAGTCGGAGAGGGCAAAATCGGAGGCTGCATTTATAAGTGCCTCTCCCTGTTACCAATGCGTAGATTCTCGCTCAGGTTGATATGCCACAGTACCATCGAATATCACCCGTTGAAGTCATCCATACCATCTATAGTAGCTAGGCTCGGCGCTTTTTCCTTCCACGACAATGTAGTGCCCCTCTGCAGAATTCTTACGCCGCTTTCCTCCCAGAGTTCCAAGCGTGCTGTTAGCACCCGCACGTTCGACCAATGAAAAAAGGACTTCGCACTTCATGCTTATTAGTATCACTCCGCCCCACTCCGTGTAAATAAACAACTCCAGCCTTTGCATCAAGATCTCGCGTCGCTAATATAAGGATAGACATGTGCATTAAAAACACGCCTCATCTATGATAGCAACTATCGCAAGTGGGAGAAATCTGAAATATTGCCCGGGTGTTTTGTTGGACACAGAATTTCTGTACATATTCTGCTCAGCGGAGTCAACTATTCCACCCCTAGAAATGACACGTGTCTATGGAGCTTGTATATAAACTATGTGCAGAGTGGTGGAAGTATTTATTATGGTAAGGATCAGAATATTGTCTTACACGATGAAAAAAATATGTCTGTTGAGTTCAAGAAGAGGCACAGCCAATGATTGAACAAGATATGACATGGCTATATCTGAATTAAACTTCTTATTCAATAAACTGTTGTCCTGTTTTTTTCTGTCTATCTTTCATCTGTAAGTAGAAGGGGGAAAGAACTACGTGAAATGAATCTGAAAATTGGAGGTGGAAAATATGGCGGTGCAAGGCAGTGGAAAACATAAATTTGATTAGACTATATGTCCATAGTACATAGAATTAGCACTAGCTTGTACATTGTATATATTCACTGCAAACTGTGATGTCTTTTCTGTGACCTGTACTGAACCCAGTGGGTATTTGCGTACAATAAATGTCTTTATTCATTCATTCGATATTACATGTTATGACACAACACATTAGCTACTCCCTCTTGCGAGAACTAGTGGAAGCTCTTCTCAGGACGAGTTTGGGAACTACTTCAGAACACCTTAGTTCTGTGCCATCCATAGTATATTCCATTTTCAAAAGCTTAAGATGACAGCTAATAGATTATTCAATGTCTACAAAAAAAAGCCTGGTTCTCTCCTTGTAGCTTACACAGCAGTTTGCCTGCGTGATATTTACATTGTTATCGGTCCAACTACGCATGACATGTTTGGACAGCGTAGGGTATAAAAGACGACAGTAGACGGCAAAGTCCACAGGACGAAGCACTTTTCCTTCCTTTCCTTTTCCCCCGAACGTGAAACATGGTTGCTCCTGTCTACTGTTTCCTTGTCGTCGTTCTCGCTGGAGCTCAGGCTTTCCAGCCGGACGACGAAGATTTGAGGACAGGGTTTCTTCAACTGCAGGAGATGATGATACATTTGGCAGAGGACATGAAGGCGTTAAAGCTGGAAGTGGAGGTAAATTTTACCATATGGATGCCTTAGGAATATGTTTATCATGCTCTTCGTAGATGTGTCTGGTTGTTGTTCATGGGCACCATGCTACCTCGTACCTTGTGGCCTGTTTTTTTATTGCATCTCATTGTATCGTATTTAAAGAAGTGCACGACTCATTTTTCCTCGTACGGTTTTTCAAGTCAACAATCTGTAGAATCTATAATTAAGACGACCTGCCAGGTGCAAGAATTCCCACACACGGTTCACATAAAATGGAGATTGGCCGTTTTGTAAATTTTACGTAAAGGTGTGACGTAATGCTTAGGTCACATTTAATTCCAGGCCGGGGCCCGGCCGGGCTGTTTGTATGAACGAAAAATCAACAATTCTTATCAGGAATATACACAAATTGTACTCATCATTATCTTTTAAACTTTTTTTGTGCTCTGTTGTCTTTTGCATCATACTTTTCGTTCCATAAGACTGCCCGGCCGGGCCCCGGTTTGGAAATGTGACCTCAGCATAAGCGCAGCCATACTTTATATTCAAACGTTCCGAACCAAGTTTCAAATCAAGCCATTACATGGCAACTTTACATGAATAACCGGCTATTAGCATACAACTCAAATGTTTTGAATAAAGTTAGCACAGATCCCGGAATGTCAATCGGCCATATTGTTCAAAGTAGGCACAGAAAGAAAGGGTAAAGAAATATAGCAAAATCAGAATGCACGGAGTTAGATTAGAGAAGACAACCTTGACAAATCTTGTCCATTTGCTCCTAATTTGAGCCTTGTTATCTGTGAAGGCTCATGTGCATGTTTGTCAACATCGAAAATAAGTTGCTTACTGTATCCGTTATGATCAGGACAAGAGGAAGACCAAGGAAACAGCAGGACATGACATTGTCGACGTACCGAGGGACAGACGTCAGATTTCTTGTGAAGATGGTACAGTACAATTACTTCATCCTACACTCCTCAAGCCATTCTACTAAGGGCCGAGATCATTCGTCATATGTTCGTCGTACTTTGTACGATCGCAAAACTTACCGCATTCTTGGGTTGGTCTTGCATGTGTCATACAGAAATCTACCGGTACCGTCTTGTTACATTGCCGTTTATCATGTATCACAGGGCACGTTGCTTTAACTGAGCAAACTGAAACATCCTCCTGTACCGCGGGTCTCTGCTGCCAGCCCGGCCGGGATGGTCGGGACGGCGCGCCGGGTCGGGACGGGGCGGCGGGAAGAGACGGGCAGCCGGGACCACAGGGCCCGATAGGACCGAGGGGCGACATCGGGCCGGAGGTAAGGATCCCCCACATCGTTTTATACCTTCAATGTTGTGAATTTACCAAGACTGACTCGCAACTAACTCTAACACTGACGTCCAATCTCTGACGTACAGGGGCCTCCTGGGGAGAAGGGAGAGACAGGAGCGGACGGGAACGGAGGTTAGAGTCGATACATACTACAGCTAGCACCAGTTTTATGTCAGATCAGGTCATTTGCTTGCACATAAAAGACGTTGGTCAATGAATATTTGGGATCGTGATCATTATAGTTGCATACGAAGTATTGCTTTTTGCCTTAGAATGTTAAGAGATGAAAGGTACCAACTTTTCTTCCACTGCCTGGAATGCTCTGGTTGCTAAATCGTCTCTTTATTTTACTGTATCTTTAACAGGCAGTTCCGTGTACATCCGCTGGGGAAGGACCACCTGTCCGAATGACACCGACACGTCACTCATTTACGATGGTATGTAACAGGCTAACTCATCTTACAGCTGCTGCCATAAATACTTCTTTGCAACATGTTTAGTGCACCTGCGACGTCTTTACAGAATAATCAATGAAAATAGTCTGAACAGTAGAACAGTAAAGATGGTATGATTGTAAAAGAGAAGAATAGTTGTTTCCTCATTTGCCTATGTGAACCTTACAAAACGTTTGTTTGCAGGCATCGCTGGAGGGACAGACTACACCCACAGCGGAGGCGGCGCCAACTACGTCTGCCTACCGAAGGACCCTGAGTGGGGAGTCTTCACGGATGGAAACCAGGGAAGTGCGTACATGAACGGCGCGGAGTATGAACTCACCGAAGGGAACAACCCATTCCAGGGCGCCTCCCTTCAAAATCACGACGTCCCCTGCGCCGTCTGTCACGTGGCGTCTCGCGGCTCCAAGCTGATGATCCCCGCCCGTCTCAGCTGCCCTAGCGGCTGGACCCGGGAGTACAAGGGTTACCTCATGACTGCCCACTACACTCAATATCGCGCTGAGTTCGTCTGCATGGACGGGGAGCCTGAGACCAGGCCCGGCGGACACGTGAACCACAACGGCGCGCTGTTCTACCCGGTCGAAGCCAACTGCGGGGCCCTGCCGTGTCCCAACTACGTGCAGGGCCGTGAGCTGACCTGTGTGGTCTGCACCAAGTAACGGCTCTGTCAACGACATGAAACCACAGCTCAAGATTCTTCAAGTAGACATTAATGCAGTAACAAAGCCAAGTAGTTTGCTGAATAAAATGATAATCGAAAACTTACATTGTCTATGTTTATGTTTATGTTCAGGTTGCGATATCTACGTGTTATCTTATCACAAATTTTGATTTCGCAAAGAAAAGCATTCGTTCCTCTTCGGCAATGGTACATAAAACAAGAAAGGTACTAGGCTACCGTGTTATCATCCACAAATAATACATGCTATGGTCCAGCCATGGCGACTCTAAAATACCGCAATATGTGACCGCTCGTGGTAATTTTGCCACAAAAGCGACCCTACATTTACTCTAATCACCGAATGTGTAAACAACATGGCGGCCGGCTTGTGTGGATTGCATCGGTTCGGCAAAATATGCAGTGTTGTGGAGTATGCAGGGGGATTTGAAGAGTGAGCTGAGAGTGCAAGGAAGCTAGGGACACTAAGAAACCCTGGCACTAACGGATCATCACGTAGTCGACGGGAGATGTCTGGTTTGGTCCGGATTTTTCCACGACTCTTGTGTGAAAAAACAAAAGACGCCCGACGGCATCCAAGAGTCACTACGGTTTAATAGCTGTTGCTGTGCGAAGAAAACAGGTACTGTACTGACTATGCTCGGTTCCCTTATTGATAAACAGCCGTACAACAGCTGGTGCGAACAAGTGCCAGAATATACACTGGAGTTGACAGAAGTCTCCAGTTTTATTACCAAAACGTAGTGAATACTTCAAATCTATATGCCATTTCTCATTCTCATTCAAGAACTTATTAAAAGTTACAAGTGGTTGTTCATTGAACACAGTTTATGACAAACACCGGAGGGCAGGGATAAGTACGTGGTTGTTGGCAATGTTGGAATTGAATGGAAGTAGATATAGATAACTCTTCGTTTATAGTCTGTTGCAAATAAATTACATTGGACCTGGATCATAAGTAAATATTTGGAATGTTATAATACTGTTTCTCAGATTTGTCACAGAACATAAAGCCTTTCCTGTATACTGGTATTTTAGGAAATTACGTATAACACATGACGAGTGCCACTACACCATGAAAGTATTGTTAATAAAGTCTGCAAGTGTTTTGCTTCTAGTTTTGAGAGCGTAGCAAGGTCCAGAAATATGAAAATACCAAAGTGTCCTTGGCAACATTTATCAAATTATTAGTAATAATAGAGATGTCAATATTCCAAAGGCCTTTCAAATTAATTTCCTGATACGATGATAAACAATAGCAAATGTTAACCCCATTTAACATATGTATACATATTCATATCATATATCTAGACTTCTGAGTACCACCTTCTGTTTGACTCATTATTTTAGGGAAAACACTTCAACAAAAAAGTGTACCTGACATTTACACAGCTCTCATTGGAAGTTGGATGTTTGGATGGACCTAGGCATAAAATCGACCGGTCCGCATTGTCCGCGCATTTCTCTTTCCGATTGCTGTGTTTAGTACAACGTCGGAATGGGTGCTCTTGTGTACTGCTTTCTTGTCGTGGTCTTTGTTGGGGCTCAGGCCTTTCAGCCGAACCGAGGAGACTCTCAACTGCAGCAGATGATGAAAACGTTCGCTGACGAGATGAAAAAAACGTTCGCTGACGAGATGAAGAAAACGTTCGCTGACGAGATGAAGAAAACGTTCGCTGACGAGTTAGAGACACTAAAGCAGGAAATTGAGGTAAATTTTATCACATGGTCACGATGTTTTCGGCAACTGACATTCTTGCTGCGTGTATACTATAACTCTCTTTTTAAGTTTTTATATGTTGAATTATATCTACTTAGTGTACTTCTATAGCAAAAGCCCTTCCACAGTTTTTACTACATCGCTTTGAAGTATTGTACTGAAGTATTGAAGTATTGTTCAGGGGACGGGTAAATAACTCCTTGCATAAACGTAACATATAGCTTCTCTAACAGTGCATGCTCAACAGAAACTATGACAATCTTGTAGACTCCAGGCCACCTAATGCAGTGCTCTTTATGACTCAACTTACGTGCTGTATCTCTGACAGGACATGAAGAAGACGACAGAACCAGCGCTCGGTAGCAAACGCCAGACCCTTGGCGAAAATGGTAAGACCTATTTTATTCTAACATAATTCAAGTCGCACGCAATATTACTTTTACTTGCATCATGAATTTGAAACAAATTTACAGATGCAACATTAGAATATTTACAGCTCAATACAATACAATATACACGGCTTCTTAGACGGTAACTTAATGATGCCCTAAACAATACAACTACTCTTCTTTTATTTCAGGTGCAGTGGACTTCGCTGAGCAAACTGAAACAACCTCCTGTACCGTGGGTCTCCGCGGCCCGCCCGGCCGGGATGGTCGGGACGGCGCGCCGGGTCGGGACGGGGCGGCGGGAAGAGACGGGCAGCCGGGACCACAGGGGCCGATAGGACCGAGGGGCGACATCGGGCCGGAGGTAAGGATCCTCCACATCGTTTTATGTCTTCAATGTTGTGGTTGTAGCAAAACTGACACCGGAAAGTAATGGTAACACTAACATGTAACCTCTGTCGTTCACGTACACATACAGGGACCTCCTGGGGAGAAGGGAGAGACAGGAGCGGACGGGAACGGAGGTTAGAGTCGATACATACTACAGCTAGCACCAGCTTTAAGTCAGTTTGGGTCATATGTTTGCACATAAAAGACGTCGACGTTGGTCAATGAATATTTGGGATCGTGATCATTATAGTTGCGTATGTATGTATTGATTTTTGCCTTAGAATGTTAAGTGATAAAAGTTATCAGAGTTTGTTTCACTTTGATGCTCTGTTTGCTAAATCCTCTCCGTATCTTGCCGTATCCCCGACAGGCAGTTCCGTGTACATCCGCTGGGGAAGGACAACCTGTCCGAATGACACCGACACGTCACTCATTTACGATGGTATATTGCCTCGTCTTACAGCTGCTGTTACAGAAACTTGTTTGCAACTTTTAGTCTTCCGTCTTTGCAGTATTATATACAGTAATAAGACCATTGAATGCGGAAACACCAGTCTAATATCATGACGGGTGACGTGCCCATGAATCCAAATGAATCCATGAATAAATATAAAGTCTAGAACGATCAAAACTATAGATATGGCATATACTATTTGAAAAAAAAGGCATTGCGACAAGTGTTTCATTTCCATTCCTCATTTCCCAATGAGAAACGTATTTTGCAGGCATCGCTGGAGGCACACTCTACACCCACAGCGGAGGCGGCGCCAACTACGTCTGTCTACCGAAGGATCCTGAGTGGGGAGTCTTCACGGATGGAAACCAACGAACTGCGTACATGCAGGGCGCGGAGTATGAACTGAACAATGGAATCAACCCATTCCCAGGCGCCTCCCTCCATGATCACGACGTCCCCTGCGCCGTCTGCCACGTGGCGTCTCGCGGCTCCAAGCTGATGATCCCCGCCCGTCTCAGCTGCCCTAGCGGCTGGACCCGGGAGTACAGGGGTTACCTCATGACTTCCTATTATAATCAATACCGCACTGAGTTTGTCTGCATGGACGGGGAGCCCGAAGCCAGGCCCGGCGGACACATAAACCACAACGGCGCGCTGTTCTACCCAGTGGAAGCCAACTGCGGGTCCCTGCCGTGTCCCAACTACGTGCAGGGCCGTGAGCTGACCTGTGTGGTCTGTACCAAGTAACGGTCCTGTCGTCAACGACATGAAACCACAGCTCAAGATTCACAAATTAGACATGAAGGCAAGGATAAAGCCAAGTACTTTGCTGAATAAAATGATAATCGAAAACTTACGGTGTTTGTCTATGTTTGTGTCGCTTTCTGAACGTCTTGGAGTCAGCAGGGAATATCATCCATACAATATACTTGCTGCGGCACAGCCATAGCGACCACAAAATATATGACCGTTCGTGGTAATTTTGCCACAAAAGCGATGCTACTTTTGTACCTGAATTTGTACACAAAATGGCGGCCAGGTTGTGTGGATAGTGCAATAGGTTGCAATTGTTTTGTGGAGTATACAGGGTGATTTGAAGATTACTTAACCTGGCCGCCCGTGTGTTGAGAGTGCAGGGAAGCCAGAGACACCAGGAAGCCGTGGCAAAAACGGATCATTGCGCAGTCGACGGGAGATGTCTGGATTTTTCTACGACTCTTGTGTGAAAAAAACAAAAGACGCCCGACACCCTCCAAGAGTCGACATGGTTAGCTGTGGCCTTGCGAAGAAAACAGGTACTGTACTGACTTTGCCTGGTTCAATTATTGATAAATAGCCATACAACAGCTGGTGCGAACAAGTGCCAGAATATACACTGGAGTTGACAGAAGTCTCCAGTTTTATTACCAAAACGTAGTGAACACTTCAAATCTATGTGCCTTTCTCATTCTCATTTAAGAACTTATTAAACGTTACTAGTGGTTGTTCACTGATCACAGTTTATGGCAAACACCGGAGGACAGGGATAAGTACGTGGTTGTTGGCAATGTTGGAATTGAATGGAAGTAGATATAGACAACTCTTTGTTTATAGTCTGTTGTAAATAGATTACTTTGGACCTAGATCATAAGGAAATATTTGATATGTTATAATACTGTTTATCAGATATATCACAGAACATAAAGCCTTTCCTATATACTGGTATTTTAGGAAATTACGTATAACACATGACGAGTGCCACTACACCATAAAAGCTTTGTTAATATAATCTGCAAGTGTTTTGCTTCTAGTTTTGAAAGCTTAGCAAGGTCCAGAAATATGAAATACCAACGTGTTCTTGGCAACATTTTATCAAATCATTAGTACAAATAGAGATGTCAATGTCCCAAAGGCCTTTTAAATTAATTTCCCGATACGATGATGCAATTCCAAGTGTTAACCGCATTGAACATATGTATACATATCCATACCATGTATGTAGACTTCTGAGGACCACCTTCTGTTTGACTCAATAATTTATGAAAAACACAAAAAAGTGTAACTGACATTTACACAGCTCTAATTGGAAGTTGGATGTTTGGATGGACCTAGGCATAAAATCGACCGGTCCGCATTGTCCGCGCATTTCTCTTTCCGATTGCTGTGTTTAGTACAACGTCGGAATGGCTGCTCTTTTGTACTGCTTTCTTGTCGTGGTCTTTGTTGGGGCTCAGGCTTTTCAGCCGAACCGAGGAGACTCTCAACTGCAACAGATGATGAAAACGTTTGCTGACGAGATGAAGAAAACGTTCGCTGACGAGATGAAGAAAACGTTCGCTGACGAGTTAGAGACACTAAAGCAGGAAATTGAGGTAAATTTTATCACATGGTCACGATGTTCTCGGCAACTGACATTCTTGCTGAGTGTATACTATAACTCTCTTTTTAAGTCTTTATATGTTGAAATATATCTACTTAGTGCACTTCTATAGCAAAACTTCTTCCACATTTCTTTCTACATTGCTTTGAAGTATTGTACTGTTGTTCAGGGGAAGTGTAAATAACTCCTTACACAGGTGTAACATATGGCTTCACTAAGTGCATACGCGACTGAAACCATGAAAATCTTGTATATTTGAGGCCACGTAGTGCCTGACTCGTCATTACTTAACTTACGTACTGTATCTCTGACAGGACATGAAGAAGACGGCGGAACCAGCTCTCGGTGGTTCTACTGGCAGCGAACAGAAAAGCAAACGTCAGATCTCTGGCGAAAATGGTAAGACTTATTTTATTCTAAAATCAATCACAAGTGTCCATAGGCGACAATTCTCCGTGACGTTTTATATTTTGAAAATATGTATGATCAACAACACGAAAATCTAAACAGCTGAGTCATATTTCATAACAACATCTATTTATTTGATAAGGTATCGTAGTAGGTGCAAACCAGCCACAATCACATGTACAGTCATAAACAAGTCACAATCCAAACAGATACTCGCAAACGATTGTACGCCACAACACCTAGTATGATGAATTTAATTACCTCAATATAAAAACAGCTACGGTGAAAAAAAACAACGTGCATCATCACGGACATAACGGCACACTACATGCCCATATACGAAGAAATACAGCGAAGACTTGACTTTTCTCTGCGAACATATTGGAGAACGGCTCACCATTTCGACTACATGTGACGAAACAGCTGTTTTTAATCACCGATCTAAATCCGTATCTGCCTGAAGGAAACACCCCCCCCCCCTTATTCAAAACAACTGGGTTTTTTTGCAGACGGTCCCACGTGCTTTTGAAATATTACATTGACCACGAAAACAGCTACGGCAAAAGTAAAAATACGTGCATCATCATAGGCATGCCTGCAGACGACGTATATAACATGCCGATGAAACAAAGGGAACCGTAGCTGCTGTTTTTATATTGAGGTAAATACCCCTATTTTTATAATCCTGTGGAATATGCCGTGGCTTAAGTAGCTGTGTGGTAGGCGGGGTTTTGTAAGCAGATGTTAGGTGGTTGTTGTGTATAATCGTTTGCGAGTATCTGTTTGGATTGTGACTTGTTTGTGACTGTGATTGTGACTTGTTTGCTCCTACTACAATACCTTATCAAATAAATAATATGTAGAAGATGAAAGATATTGTTATGAAAGATGACTCTGTTTAGATTTTCGTGTTGTTGATCATATATATATATATTTGCAAAATATAAAACTTCACGGAGAATTGTCGCCTATGGACACTTGTTAAATTTTTGCGAAGAAATCATCCAATGGACATTTTGAATTAGGATTTTGCATTAGGCACATGTTCTTACGTGTTAGAATGGATAATTTACAGGTAGCTCCTTCGTGAAAGCCTTCTATGTGGAAAATATCAGCTTTTGTTCCACTGGAATGTTCTGTTTTCTAAATATTCTCATTTTCCTGCCCAGGAGGTTCCGTGTACATCCGCTGGGGAAGGACCTCCTGTCCGAATGACATCGACACGTCACTCGTTTACGATGGTAAGCGGCTGCCTATTTTAAAGCTGTGCATGCCGTCGTAAATACTACTTTTCAACTTCTTTCGTGCACGTATGTCCCGTCTTTCCTGTATGATACAAAGACCATGAGCGAGTTGCAAGATCCAAATGTTTCCATCCCCCTATATAAAAAAAAATGGACTGTCGCATGACTGTCTTATAAAAATCATCTCGAGAAATATGTCGTATGTCTTGCCTCCGACATGAACCCTCATTTGCCTCAGAAAACCTGGCAAACGTTTATTTTGCAGGCATCGCAGGAGGCACACAGCACACCCACAGCGGAGGAGGCGCCAACTACGTCTGTCTACCGAAGGATCCTGAGTGGGGAGTCTTCACGGATGGAAACCAGGGAACTGCGTACATGTGCGGCGCGGAGTATCAAGTCGTGTACGGAAACAACCCATTCCAGGGCGCCTCCCTCCATGATCACGACGTCCCCTGCGCCGTCTGTCACGTGGCGTCTCGCGGCTCCAAGCTGATGATCCCCGCCCGTCTCATCTGCCCTAGCGGCTGGACCCGGGAGTACAGGGGTTACCTCATGACTGAACGCTATTCTCATAGCCGCTCTGAGTTCGTCTGTATGGACGAAGAACCCGAAGCTAGGCCCGGCGGACACGCGGACCACAACGGCGCGCTGTTCTACCCAATCGAAGCCAACTGCGGGGCCCTGCCGTGTCCCAACTACGTGCAGGGCCGTGAGCTGACCTGTGTGGTCTGCACCAAGTAACGGTCCTGTCGTCAACGACATGAAACCACAGCTCAAGATTCACAAAGTAGACATGAAGGCAATGATAAGCCAAGTAATTTGCTGAATAAAATGATAATCGAAAACTTACGGTGTTTGTCTATGTTTGTGTCGCTTTCTGAACGTCTTGGAGTCAGCAGGGAATATCATCCATAAAAAATATTTGCTGAGGCACAGCCATGGCGACCCCAAAATATATGACCGTTCGTGGTGATTTTGCCACAAAAGCGACGCTACTTTTACTCTATTAGTACCTGAATGTGTAGACAAAATGGCCGCTAGGTTGTGTGGATAGTGCAATAGGTTGCAATGGTTTTGTGGAGCATTCAGGGTGACTTCAAGATTCCTCAACCCGGTCGGCCGTGTGTTGAGAGTGCAGGGAAGCTAGGGACACCAAGAGACCGTAGCAAAAACAGAACATCGCACAGTCGACGGGAGATGTCTGGATTTTCCAAGACTCTTCTGTGGAAAAAACACAAAAGATGCCCGACGCCCTCCAAGAGTCGACATGGTTAGCTGTGGCCTTGCGAAGAAAACAGGTATTGTACTGACCGGTTCAATTATTGATAAATAGCCACACAACAGCTGGTGCGAGCAAGTGCCAAAATATACACTGGAGTTGACAGAAGTCTTCAGGTTTATTACTAAATGGTAGCGTTAAATCACTTCGAAGTTATTTGCCATTGCCACTCAGATGACCTTTCATACTATTATTTGCCACTCATATTTAAGAACTTATTAGTCGTTGTTTACCGTTTTGGAATTGAATGGATGTAGGTATAGATAATTCTGTCTAAATTCTGTTATCAATAAATCACTCCTTTTTCATAAGTAAATATATGGGAAATATTAAAGTCCAGCATAGGGCCCTGCAAACTTGGTTTGTAGTACACAGTGTTGAATGACAACTGCCACAAACTTATCGAGCCTTGGAAAGTAAAGATCCCGAATTCGAATCTCTTTTCCTTTCCTAATTTCTTGTCGTACATTTTAATTCCTGATCATATTCCTTATAGCTGAATGTATTTAAGACCAAAAAAGGCGTATAATTTGAAGTTGATAGACCTTACCCTCTTACTCCTACGCTTGATATAGTGCACTCCTCTTTTGTACGGAATGTTTAACCTTGATGTGTATGTAAGCGCGGTCGCTTTGCATCATCCTTTCTTCATAAATAATCATTATCAAAGAAGCACAGACACCTGCTTGCAATGCACATTTTATTCAGCAAACAGCTTGACTTTCCTTTGCTTAAGCATCAATGCCTACTTTACGAATCTTGAGCTGTTGGTTTCATGTCGCTGACGACAAGACCGTTACTTGGTGCAGACCACACAGGTCAGCTCACGACCCTGCACGTAGTTGGGACACGGCAGGGACCCGCAGTTGGCTTCCACTGGGTAGAACAGCGCGCCGTTGTGGTTCACGTGTCCGCCGGGCCTGGTCTCGGGCTCCCCGTCCATGCAGACGAACTCAGAGCGCTTATGGGCGTAGTGTTCAGTCATGAGGTAACCCCTGTACTCCTGGGTCCAGCCGCTAGGGCAGCTGAGACGGGCGGGGATCATCAGCTTGGAGCCGCGAGACGCCACGTGACAGACGGCGCAGGGGACGTCGTGATCATGGAGGGAGGCGCCTTGGAATGGGTTCGCAAAGTTGAGTTGATACTCCGCGCCCTGCATGTACGCATTTCCCTGGTTTCCATCCCTGAAGACTCCCCACTCAGGATCCTTCGGTAGACAGACGTAGTTGGCGCCTCCTCCGGTGTGGGTGTGCTGTGTGCCTCCTGCGATGCCTGCAAAATAAACACTTTCGTCAGGTTCTCATATCGGAAAAATGAGGATTCGTGTAAAGGGAACAACTTTTTTTATTACTCGAGATGCCTTTTATTACTCAGATAGGGTTGCTATCTCCACTCCTCTAATCCTGGCAGACTTTATTTATTTATTTTGATTTATGGGAATGGAAACAGTTGGATCTTACACGTCATGACATGTATAAGTGACCCTACATCTAATTGTCTTAATATCATTCTGGAAAGACGGGGCTCGGGTGCACTAACTACGCTGCAAAGACGTTTTCTATGCAAGCAGCTGAAAGATAAGGAAGCCGCTTATATACCATCGTAAACGAGTGACGTGTCGGTGTCATTCGGACAGGTGGTCCTTCCCCAGCGGATGTACACGGAACTGCCTGGACAAAAAAAGATTTAGCAACCAGAACATTTCAGTGGAACATAAGCTGGTAATTGTCATACATAATGCTTTCATAAAATAGATTTTTTAAAAATTAGAATTTCACGCTGACTTCACGCTGTAGTATATATCGACTCTAACCTCCGTTCCCGTCCGCTCCTGTCTCTCCCTTCTCCCCAGGAGGTCCCTGTACGTGTGCGACAGAGATTGGACGTCAGTGTTAAAGTTAGTTGCGGAGTCGGTCTTGGTAAATTCACAACATTGATGTGGAGGATCCTTACCTCCGGCCCGATGTCGCCCTTCGGTCCTATCGGCCCCTGTGGTCCCGGCTGCCCGTCTCTTCCCGCCGCCCCGTCCCGACCCGGCGCGCCGTCCCGACCATCCCGGCCGGGCGGGCCGCGGAGACCCACGGTACAGAAGGATGTATCCGTTTGCTCAGTCAAGTTCAAGTCACCTGTAGTGGTAAAAGAGTAATGAAAATATCTCATGTAACACATAGTTGTAGGATCCACTAAATATTAAGCTGCAAAACCGTAATGCTGAGTCAAATTTGGCACCACAGACTCATTCACTCATCTCCGCCTATTCCCGGGGGAGCGTGTCGCCTCGGCATATTTCCTCCAGTCTACTTTTATTTCTGGCTACCTCCCAGGTGTCGGAGTAAACTTAAAACAGGACTTACCGTTTTCGACTGGAAGCTGGCGTTTGTTTCGCGGCAGGTTGCCAATGCTGTTTTCTGCAAGGCTGCCAATTATTGCCGTAAGGCTGCCAAGCACAGTCTCCATGGTCTTCTCCATGTCCTATGAGGCATACAGTAAGATCTGAAGGTTGCGGCAAAACATATCTAGCAAAGTGTTAGCACGATAAATCAAACACAACTGGACCTCATCGGGTGAGTAAGTAATATGATATACCTCCAACTTGTTAGCGAACATCCCCATCATCTGCTGTAGTTCCACGACGTCTGCCTGCAAATCTCGGCGGTCCGGCTGAAAAGCCTGAGCCCCAGCAAGGACTGCCACAAGAACGCAGAAGACAAGAGTAGTCATTCTAACCTCGTACTTCACAAAACAACAAGGAAGGAGAGAATGTGCTTCACCCGATGAACTGTCCCCCTTTTTATACAAAATCCTGTTAGGACATGGATGACAGGGTGAGAACAGTGCAAATGTCATTTGGTTGCAATATTCTTTATTGGTGGTAATCTATTAATCGTTCTGCCAATCGTACAGCAATTTTGAAGTTCAATCAGGCTCTGGTGCTATCTACCTGTCTATGTGGAGTATTTTTAAAGTTTTATGGTGTTTTTTAAAGCGGGTGACATTCTTAATTGCTGACCATTGCATGGAGAATTTACGCCACCTGATATGAAAGTCACATTTCAATATTGACTTCTAACTTCTAACGGGCAATTATGTCAATGCAGGCAAAGACTTTTCGATATTCATAAATTTTATTACCTCATACTACTCTTCTGCTTGATATTTTTTCTCGGCTGTTTTGAAGATTGTACATTCTTAATATACTTAATTCGCTCTTAAACATTATAGACCTCTGTCAGCTCTAATAACTTTTTACTGGCCGTATGATGGTGGCACTTGTTCACACCATCTGGCGTCTTGATTTTAAAACCAGGAATAGTTATCACACCTTGGTGACATACGAGGTGACATAAAGGGAAATGCATGAAATACAATAATAAGTGGAAATACTGCGGAACTTGACTTCTCCCTGTAGTTAACGATATAGTTTATACATATAGTTATAGTTATAGATGTATCTTTCATCCGTGTCAAATCCGTCTGTTACAGCTGCCGGCACTTCCTGTTCTATTTCAAATACATGATACAAAATACATCAGTCTTACGAGGCAGACGTTTCTGATAACATCCGCTTGTTTCATCAGTGACTGGGAATGGATGTAAAGACAGGTGTAACCTGTATGCAAGTGATAGACCTTGCCATGATAAATAGGTCTCTTTTCATCGTTCTAAAACGCTTCATAAGGCATGCAGCGAGCGTGTTGTCCGTACGCAGCCTCACGGACCAAAATAGCAGAGCATGAATGTCTAACAAGCCTTAATGCAGCCGCATTTGTGAGCGCTATAGTTAGCATCACGCCTCCGCGTGCTGTGTTCATGTAATACTCTGGAGGCTGCTTCAGTGGGTGGGAGGGAATTACTGATTCCAAAGGGCCAATAACCTGCGAATAGACTAGTAATTACGGAGCCAGGGAAGACGTACTTAGCCAACCATGTAATTGTCGTAAAACAGGTTCGCGCGCTTTTGTTGAACAGTTTAACAGCACCAAAAGCTGTGAGCTGAAAACAATGTAAGAGGTACGTCACGTCGAATGTTGTACTTGTTAACAACACCAGCTTTAAGGTATCCAAATTCGGTATGTAAAGATGCATGTGAATTTATCATTTAAAAAATACACCGGTTACCACAGCACTCATGCTCTATCCCAAATAAGAAATTTCTCTGTTTTTTAGATATGCGATACAACATTGTAAGTGCATCGTGCATTGGCTCGAAGCAACCTCATAACAATTCGCGTAGAATGTTTGAATGTTTCCCAAGCATTACTTACTATTCTAGTCCCTCTGTACAGAGTAGTACTCAAGATTAGCAAGAAAAGCTCCAGGTTCTGTCTTGAAGAGCACGGCACCGCGAAAAGAATATATAAACGTATTTTTAAACATCTATATTCCACTGGCAATAGCCCGAAATAAACCCATCGCGTGCGCGAGTGCGTGGGCTTGCCCATAAAAGGGTTACTGGTGCCAGGCTGAGAAGCCACCAGGAAGCACCAAACACTTCACACCATATATGGTAACGGTGACAGTGGGTAGGAAGCGCTGGGGTCCATAAAGGTGACCGGCGGCGTCTCACTGTAGGGTACACTGCGGGAAAACGTTTTATTTAGGACACGTTTACCATAGAGATAAATTAGTGACGACACAGATGATTCGGAAATACAGGAAGTGCTAGATCAAACATACACGTATATGTGTTCACTCACCTCTGATAATAATTACCGGACATAAAAGTTCATCTTTGTTGTCTGTTTTGATTGAAAAGAAAATATTTCCTGTCGCTGCGTGTTGCCATATTCAAGATCTTCTATTGTTCAATTTTCTCGCATAGTCGTGCGTGTATAACCGGCATTTAACTGACAGGAACCGGAATCTCACTGACAGGGCCTGCGGCTGAAAAAAATGTTCCAGCCTACCGTTATATAACATACACACCGACACAATTCAGCTAACATCCGACATCTTTTATCAGCTATTGGTATTCACTAAAAGAACGAGGGTGTTGTAGATGGGAATGGCCGGTCTTGGTCGCAGTTCAAGGATGGGCAGCAGGTTGTGTTGTATGCCTTCCCTTTAACCCCACGCTCAAACCATTTGCCGTCTCTCTATACCGAGGATGAAGATCATCATATACTACTCGTTCCTAACTGCTGTCAGACATTATCTGAATGCAAAAACATGATTTGACGAATCCAGAAGCCCCTTTGTGAACCGATTAAGATCTAGCAAGGAGTTTGTAAACCGTTGTAAACAGCACAGCCCTCGACCACGTCATATGTCCACTGCAACCATCATTTCAGCACCAAGGAAAGAGCCATTACGAGGTCTTACAACGAGTTTGTAATGTTTTAACAGTTTCCAGAAATTATTTATAGACAACTTAAAGGGTTTAAGACGCCTAACTCACAGGAAATGCTTAAGTAATACACATTAAGTGATGAAACCATTGGTGTTCTTGACTGCTGGCTGCATGTAAATATGGGGTTTTGAACGTTAACGGAAGCGAGTCCCAGGCCAAAAATCAATCCAGATGAGTGTAAAACTGTTTGCGCTCAGCAAAAACGAGGCTTTGAAAAGTTGAGCTGAAGCCGGTTCCAGGCCAAGATTCAATCCAGATGGTTTTCAGTCTTTAAAACGTAAAGCGCTCTGATTGACCAAGATAATGTGGTTCCACGCATATACGTATACATATATCAGGTCTCAGATAAATCTTCATGCCAGGATACGCGAAACTCATCGCCTCACATTCTGGATAGTTCTCCTCAAAATGCAATATGTAACAACATGTTGTAATCTTTACACAAAGCTTGTTTAGATTTTTGTATGGAATACACCTCGTCTCGCACGCTGAGCATTAAATGGGGTCGGGTTAAGGGTAGTTATATAACGCTTTGTAGCTGTTAACACAAGTGTACAGTCGGAATTATCATAGCTTCCATACAAAACGACAACGTTGTACGAGCGGTATCAACAGAGCTGTCTCACACACACCTTCTTCTTTGAATCCACAGAGAATAAAAAGGGTGAAGTGAGGTAGGGTCAGGTAAGGTAGCGGAAGCCACGAGGCAAATCTACATGGAGTGATTGCGTCTGCCATTTGCGCAAAACCAATGCCCAATCTGCATCGTGATCCAATATACAACGAATTAACCACCCCATTCACGTCCATTTTTCCTTACCTGAAACCTTTTCTCCGAGTAGGCATTTCGCCTAAGGTCATCGTTAGTGGGAGAGTTTATCTGTTGAAACGGAAAGGTTTGTAACCCAGAGTGCATTCGTGACTTTTTCCTCTCGAGAAGTGTAGGTAAAGCAACTATTATACAATAAGCACGGGGCAAGTTATATAGTGTAGCAGCTTTATTCCTTGTGCATCCGATCTGATCAGCTATTCTCAAAGTACTAACAACACGAAAATAACAGTTAGATAAACGGATAAATGACTTTTCCCAAACAGTATACTAGTATCCATAAACACACCATAACACGTTTTCTCGTTGACTTGTAGATAAACCTTAAGAATTAAAATATTTGGCAAAAACTAAACCATGTAGTCAGAAAGACAAACTTTAAGTTACCAAGAAAAATGAACTACCCTGTCAACGTCACATTCAAAAATCAATTGAACATACTAATAAATAATGACAATGTATTTTCCTAAGTCCGCTTAATAAATCAACTAACCGATTAATTCATCAAGGATAACCTGAAGTGCCTCCTTATTCTTACAATATAATATTTCTTTACTTTTGGCTTCCAGAATATTCCTATTCACTTATCTCTGACAAGGCTCTGAGATATCTTGAAATATCTCTTTTTATTTTCCGGCTATATTGAGGTAGTTCCTTTCACACTTACGTACTTTTTACAAAGTTATCACAAATACTATTCAATATAAATCTTAACATCTCTGAGTATTCAACGGACAAGGTCTGAATAGTTTTTTATTAAGCAGATACAAACAGTTACAAAACTTTATCATCCAATAGATAAGTAAATCCGCTTATAGATATTTCTTATATGTCCTGATATGACGTGGTTTATGGCGTCAATGCTGATCCCAGTGAGGTAACGCTGTCACCACGCGATGACGAAGGTTACGTCACCCGGGACGCGATGTGCCGTGAGGCGCTTTGTCCTGTATGACGTAGATGTAGATGTAGATGTAGATGTAGATGTAGATGTAGACGTAGATGTAGATGTAGACGTAGATGTAGATGTAGATGTAGATGTAGATGTAGACGTAGACGTAGATGTAGACGTAGACGTAGATGTAGATGTAGATGTAGACGTAGACGTAGACGTAGACGTAGATGTAGATGTAGATGTAGATGTAGATGTAGACGTAGACGTAGATGTAGATGTAGATGTAGACGTAGACGTAGACGTAGATGTAGACGTAGATGTAGATGTAGATGTAGACGTAGATGTAGATGTAGATGTAGATGTAGATGTAGATGTAGATGTAGATGTAGATGTAGATGTCACTCGGTCCTCAGCAGCACAAACACAGGTTGTATCACAGCCCCGTGACGCTGGATGTCTTCTATGTATGTCGAAAACAGGTGCGCTAGAGGAGCAGACGCCTACGCACGAGTTAGGGAAGACAACAGGAGTCAATTAGAACGGTTTATTCTAGCGAGTAGAAACAAGATTTTGTGAAGAGATCTTAGCTCCGTGTAATATTTTTTGTTTGTCTTGTTTCATCTCGTTTCACAGATTTTGTAAGTTAAG